TTTCCTGAAGTCTTCTGTGACTTGTGGTTAAATACTCTAAATATGAGGAAACAACCTTTAGAGAACCTGTGATAGTGGCAACCAGTTTTTTGCTCTTTGTGAAATACAGGTGATTCATGGTTAAAAAAAAGCCCAAAAATCAAACCCAAACAAACAAAAAACCACAATCAAACAAAGAAACAAAACAAAACAAAAAAATACTGCAGCTCTTGCTCAGAATTTTCCAGGAGACACTGGGCAGCCAAGGATGGAGTCAAGCACTGGTAAAATTTCTGAATGCTAGGTAAGTCCACTGTGGATGGTCTTGACAGACTGCATCTTTCCTGAGTTTGGATATGCTCCTCTATCAGTTGAGGTTCTGTTTCCTGAAGTTATCCTCATTAAATCTTGCACCTGTGGTACCAGAAGGAGGAAGCCAAATAGAATAAAATAATTGGAGCAAGCTTCTGTATCTGTAGAATACTTCTGGGTTTAGATGTCTATATCACACTCATTGCTTGTTAGGAGTTTCTTTCCTAGAGGAAGCTTGGCCCTTTGCAGGAAGATTTCTTGATTGAGCAGAGATTATAACATTGATGTCTACATCTGTCTGAAACTTTACTTTCCTGATATGCAACTTGTGTAGCTCTGTGCTTAATTTTCCAACTGTGAGTTCATAGTACTTCAGCACTATTGCAAACTTGGTTTCAGAGGGCTACAAATGTAAGCCAGTTGAATGTGCCATGTTTCATCAAGTATTGTATTAAGTTTACTAATTTTACGTGATCTTAACGCATAAGAATGAATGAGCCCATGTTTTTGAAAATGCCTCCAAGTTTTAGCCTACTTTTTGATGAACTTGGTGTGACATTTGAATTTGTAAGAAGATATGGCACTAGGGAAGTTTGGGATGTTTAATTCTCAATATTAACATACTGCTCTCACAGTAGTCTAGACTAGGGACATATGCGACCTGTCATTAAATGGTAATTCATCTACTGACAGTTCAATGTCTGAAGTGTGCTGCCTTTGTCCCCTAAAGACTTAGTGAAAAAACAACTTGGAATATAAAGTTTTCCCAAAGTTCAGAAACATTTCACCAGTGAGTGTTTATTAATTTAATTTTTTTTTTTCCCAGCTGTACGAACTAGAACTAGACATATAATTGATTTATTCTTTGGAGTGTTAAGAAAATATGTTTTCCATAAAGGAAGCTTTTTGGCAACAGAAATACTTCTGGAGCTGCACTACAGTGCTATTTGCTTGCATCTATGTTGTTAAGACTAACATGTACTAGTTTTTTTTTCCAGCATGCCCTTATAGCTCCAGATGGAGTAGTATATCTTAATATACATTAAACAGGAAGAAATAGAGTAAGTAAGTTAGGAAGGCATATTTCTGCTGGCCTTTTATATTCAGGTTAATAAAAACATTTGAAAGTTGGCATGGAACCCCTTTTTGAAATTACTAAGGAACAAAAAAAACTAGATGGCTTTAAAGATCAGAACTCACTTTCTCTTCATGACTTTGCAGTTCAGAAGTTGCTTCACTGATGTTAAACACAATCTGTATCCTTTCATTGTTTTAATGAGCCTAAGTGAAGACCACCCTCTCAAAGGATATCTTACTTGGAGTAGTTGACTCTTATAGAATAGGATTTTAAACTACTGCTTTCAAAATGTTGTAGCAGTGATGAAGAGTGAGTGTATGACACTATTCAGTAGCTGCTGAAGTGTGGTAAGATGAACATGCTATTGTAGGTTGCAATGTGCAACCTAGGTATGTGATTCTGAATGCCGTTATTAGAATTAATCAGTAGTTTACAATGGAGAGATTAAATTAAAGGTCTGAAGACAATTATTGTTTACTTATTACTCATTGAAGGAGATGCAGAATGCTGCAGTATAATCAAGCAAATAGCTTTGTAGGCAGCTAAGGGCTTGATTTAGAGACAGCAGCCAGTATTTGTGAACTGATATGTGTGGTCTGTCTGGTGCTATCCAGCCAGGCTCTGGCAGTGCAACAGTGCTGTGCTGTGCAGTGGGAGCTTCCAAGCTCTTCACGTGACTTCAGCCAGCCGTGAGTCAGTATGTTTTTCTTCTGTGCTACAGTAAAAAAGTTCAGTTAAAGAATAGGGTGGATATTCTTAAGGGCAGGCAGGCAAATTACATTTCTCAGCGTCGCCCACTGCAAGTCAAAGCTTTTAGAGTATTAATGTTTGATGATAAGTAACATTAAGGTGAAGTAGTTGTGAAGAGGGTAAAAATAGACTTCAGTTAGGGAGAGGTTTTATTTCAGATCTCCCCCTAAATTAAACAGAAGAGCAACTTCCCCTTACAGGGTACAGCTACATCATTTTACTCTTTTCTTTCTCATTGCTATGACATAACTGCAAAGGCTTAACTTGAAACAGACTTGTTAAGTGAATAAGGAAGTATAAGAGGATGTGACCTGCTTATGGTATATTACATCTGTCCACTCTTTTTTCAAGGATTTCCAATGGTGAGAGCTTAGCTTTGTTGTTGTGTTCTGTATAGTGTTTTTACAAGTGTATTGTAGAGCAGTTACTGAGTTAGTTGCACTTAGACAGAAGTTCTTCTCTGTCCCAACCAGTATGGTTGTGGAAAAGCAATTGTTTATTTTGGTTCTTTCAGTTAGGAACTGGAATTATAAAATGATTCAGCTTAGAGAAACCAGAACCAATTCAGAGTAAAGAATACCCTGCTCTTCCCAACCTAGGGTTTCATCTAAGAGATGCAATAAGAGAAAAAAAGGAGACACCACAAACTCATCATACTACTTCCCAAATATACATCTGTTTGGTCTATTCCCTGATGGACTGATACCAATCTTTTTATATAGATTGTGTGTTCATACTAAGATTTTTGTCTGATATAAATGGTAAAGCTTTGTTGGCTTCAGCAGAGCTGAACTATTTTACGCTGAGGGCTTAACACATGATGTAATACCCTAACAAATTTTTGTGCAAGACTGTAAGTTATGTCAAGTTCTGGAGTTTCTTGTAGTGAGTTGTTCTGGTTAAATGTTTGTGCGATTAAAATTGCGATGTCGGATTTGGATGAGTGATATGTGTGTTTAAGTGATGAATCTACATTTTGGCAGTGTTTGTCAGGTTTAGCTTTTGTTGATGGCCTAATTTTTAGGTAGTGCAACTGTAATGCTGTTTCTTTTCTTTAAATCCAAGTCTCTTCACACTTCATGTTTCATTGTCCATTTTCCTCAATTCCTGCTCTTATATGATTTCCCTATTTCTATTTGACCTTGACAGGATTCTTGTTGTTGGATAACTGAGGGCAGGATGAGGAACGTGTCTTTGAAACCTCTTGCATAACTTGATTTTAACGTTATGAGGTCCAAGTGGCAGAGAAGATAGATGATACCTAACTCAAGAATGAGTCCTTCAGGGCATGTTTAGAGGAAGTATGTTCGTTGACTTTCAGGACTCTTAGATGAAGGAATTGATAGATTTTTATATACTATTTCATTACTGTTACTTGGCGAAATACTTAAAGTTACCAACCCACAAAAAAAACAACCAAACAAAATAAATTAGTAATTATTGAGATCCTAAATCAGGATGTCTTAAAAATTCAGGAAAGGAAACATGAAAAACAAAGGACTCTTACCTTCTAATGGGTACACTGTGTTAATCTTACTCTGAAAAGTCTTGCAGAGCAGTCGATGTCATATGATGCTGTAGTAATGTGTTCCATCTAGCATCATGCACTGTCTTTTTACTGCCATTCTTTTTCCCAAGGGACAATGGATGCCATTAGGAGAAACTTTTTACTTTTCCCAGTGCATGGCGAGAGCATAGCCCAAGTCAGCACTGCAACTTTGGAGGAGAGCCCAACCCAATTTATGGGATTCTCAGGCTTCTGTTGGGATTTAGAAACATGGTGAATTTCTCTTAACACAACCAGCTCAGGTACATGCATTGCCTTTGAAAGAGCAATACATCTTCTTACAAATTCATCAGAATTCTCATTAAATAAATTCTTAAAAATTGCTTAGAATGAAGAAAAGCTTTCTTCTAACAAAGAAAGACTCTCATTTTAGGAGAACCTGCATCTTTCGTTAGTTTGTGATGCTAGTTTGTGAGAACACATGTCAATTTCTCTTTAAATTTTTCTGGGACTGGGCTTATGTTTTGAAATGTGTGGACTCTTTAGCAAGGCATCCCTTAAATCAGGCATACTTTTCTACTCATAATATCTTCTTCCTGGACTGTATGATTTGCAGTGTGAAACTTTTACTTCCTGTAGAAGAACTAATAATACATTTGCTGTGAACATTTTAATTTCCAGTCTATGGGATGTCACTGGATATTCATAGATCTCACATAGTCATAATGCAAAGGACTGGATTGCATGCCCACAGCCTTTTAGGCAGATATTAAGGATATGTGAGTGGACTCAGTACTTTAGTCTGATACAGCAGTTTCTCTTCTCTTAATTTCTGCTTGTGTGTATAACATCATGAAGTACAATCTCTCTTCTCTCAGTTTTCCCACTGCCACACCTTGTAAAAAGAACTGAAATTACTTTGTGTCAGGGAAAAAATAAGGGTGAGAAGTGATTAAGTTATCAACATGGGGGAAAAGACTAGGGAAGTATGACTGTCTCTCATTGTAAGTGGGGTAACTCCAGTACTACTTTTAAACTTGTCCCCTTTGTTATTGTTAAATCCATGAGGTAAGGACTTACGTGTTGGAGAATGGTGACATTATGCGACTTTATATGGCTTTCAGGCTGACTTGCCTTCTTCATTTCCCCTCTTTGAAAATGAGCTGCTCCCATGTTCAACAAAGTACCATTTAAATGATGAAAGAGATTTTATGGAGCACTTTTGCTCTGCAGCTGGTCTAATTAGGACTTAGAACTAATTGCTGTAGGTCAGCAGTCATAACTGACTTCCATACATCAGTGCATGATTTCTGGACAGTCAAAGTCATGGAAGGATCCACTTACATACTTCTTTGTGTTTTGCTTTTTCAACAGTTACATCGCAAACCAGCCAAACTTGGAAAGTATAAATGACAATGAGGTTGGATTTTATGTTGGACTTAAAAATCTGTGAGTATGGGTTGCATTTGATACAGCCATTTTTTCTGTATTTCTTTTATAGAAGCATATAGAGATCTTATCAAACTGTATGCCTAACTTTGTGAGTTACTCAGCAAAGTTGTAAATCTTGCAGCTGAGCCTTGTAGACATTTCCTCCAAACTCATTTAAATAGTTATTATCATTGCACTTTCCATTATATTTTAAATGAAAAATTATAGCCGTTTTATTTATTTTCCTAGGACTGTGGTGGATTCAGGACTAAGATTCGTGTCCCGTCATGCATTTGTGAAAAATGTGAACCTACAATACATGTGAGTAAGAATAGTACCTGCATTCTAAGTCAAAACTGCCCAACTCATGGTAATTAATTTATTTTAAAGTTATTTCTATCTCTTACCATTTGCCTAATTTAAAAATATTTTAACAAAAAAGACTTATAATTGTCTTCTATTGTTAATTGCCCTTAAATGAGATATATATGGTAAGGAACTGGTGGATCGTAAAAACATAATGTGCGTAAAGACCAGTCAGTTCATTTTCTGAAGTGTACTTCAGCTGTGTCTTTTGTGATATGTAGCACAAAGAGTGTGTGTTTCACAGGTATGATGTCCACACTGTGCATCACACTCAGTGACATGATTTTGACCAGCTCTAGTGTGATTTGATGAGCTGAACATATTTTAGCATCTGCAAGTGCAGGAGATGCATGCATGGAGCACACCAGATATAATTTGATCAATACACGTGCCAAGAGACTGTGATCAGACTGCCTGAAGAACTGAAGTCCGAGGGGTCATTCACTTTGAAAGCTCACTCAAGATCAGAACTAATGCACCCAGAGCAGAATATAGGAATGATATTGCTTTCACACCCAAATGTGATTTGTGACCTATAGGAAGCAGAATTTGTACCTGTGCAGCTTTTTGACTGTGTTTCCTACATTTCTCATGCTTTAGATATAGCAAAGGCTGAACTGATCAAAGTTCTCTTTCTACAGCTTTTGTTCCTTCTAGTGGGACAGACATAGAGTAGCTCACTTTGCTACTTACATGGAAAACTTGGATCTTGTCCAATAAAACACTGAGATCATGTGAGTGGCTCAGTTCCTCACAAATACCCTGTTTTAGCCAAATATTCCAAGTGTGTGCTTTAGTCCATACATCTTCAATAGATGAACACGAGCATATATTAGCATTTAACGGAACCTTTTGCTTTTATCCTAGTGAGATTGAAAAGGCATAATGCCAAACCTTGGCTTTGTAAGATACTTCCTTGTAAAAGGAAAGAATTGTTGAACAGAACACAGAATTCTGTTTGATTTGATTGCTTTGCTCATGAGATGGAATCACTTTCTGACATGTGTTTTCCAAAGAACAGCAATTAATTTCTGTAAGGAAGTGGACGTAAGTGTCCTTTTCTGTCCAGGTAGTAGTTCCTGCCCTTAATATGGAACAGTCACCAGAGGAGTGTGAACTAGATCTTGTGAGCCTGTGAAATTTATATTACATCGTATAATCATTTAAAAAGAGCTTTACTATATAGTCAATTGGTAATATAAGGGAATATGGTAATATAATATCAGTTGGTAATATAAGGGAAATATGTTCCAGAGTAAATTCAAGTTTTAGCCTGTGTAACAATTGCTCAGTGAATTATGGCTGTAAACTATGAAAATCCATAAAGCCAAGTGGATGCGCACTGGCTGTGGAAATATGCAATTAGAACATACTGTCTGAGGGGCATATTTGCAGGGAAAGACTTTGTGACTCTGCTGAGAGAGAAGTGAGATTCTCTCTCTGTGCAATGAGGCAGAACAAAGCAAATTCAAGTCTGGGATCAAAAGGAATATTGTGTTACATTTTTACATCTTTTCCCCATTGCATTAGCTGCTGAGAGGGAATCTATTGGAATACTGTATAGAGATTAGGGCACGGAATCTACTCATCTTGAAAGATGCTACAGAGAAGAACAGTGGAGCCATAAGGAGCTTGTAAAGCAAATAATATAAGGAGGTGGAGAGCCCGAGTATGTTCAGTGCAATAAAGAGAAGATTGAAAGAGAACATACATCATTGCAATAGGACAAAGAATAACGATTTGAAAATCAAAGAGGGTTGACTTAGACTAGATATAAGGAAGAAGTTTTTTACAATAAGGGTGATGAAACACTGTCACAGGTTGCCCAGAGACATGGTAGATGCCCCAGCCCTGGTGGCATTTAGGGTTATGTTGGACAGGGCTCTGAGCAAGGTGGTATAGTTGAAGATGATGGAGAGTTGGAACTAGATCACCTTTAAAGATCCCTTCCAACCCAAAGTATTCTATGATTCTATGCTTCTGAGCTCATCTTATCTTTAAAATAAGAGTAATTATGATGAGGAAAGCAATCAGTTCTCTCCATTACCATGAGTACAGTGTGAGAAATAATGAGTTTAGTTTGGAGAAAGATAAATAGAATTCTGTAAGACCTTCCCAGCTGTCTGGGCAGGTAGGCACCACAGAAGGTGTGACAACTGGTATGATCCTCTTGAGAGACTTTTTTGACTGTTGCCTTAGGGAAATGGGTTTCATGGAGTCACGAAGTGTGTCTGTCTCAAGTTTTTCTTATAACCAAAATTTACATAGGTACAAAAGCTTTCAGAAAACCATTCTGAAACCTTTCAGACCATTGAACAGAACAGAGAGACCCTATCAAAGTTACCACTTAAGGGAAAAGTATCACTGTACATATGTGAGCTGCTAGGCTTTACAGAATCCCCTTGGATAAGATGCCTTTAAAGTGTTTCAACCATAGGAGGAGCTTCATTTGAACATGCAGTCAAACTGGGAGTACATGTCTGCTGGTAAGCAGACTTTGGTAGTGCTGTAACTCATGAAGCTCCTTATTAGAAACAAATTAGACTGACTTGAAATCTGTTTGGTTGATATAGATGAATTCTTGATGCAGAATACTTGCTTTATGAACCAGAAGTTTATCCAGTCTTGTACTGTGTTTTCTTTTGGTGGGGATTTAGTAATGTTGGCAGACACATTATAAGCCCAGATAAGATGGAAAACATTGTCACCAGCTGCTCTAGATGCACAGGACAAAGAAGTAAGTATAGAGGTATTTTTTACCAAGGCTGATCTGTTATCCCTGCAAAATGCATTTGTTTGTTTGCTTTGGCTAGTCATTATGCACACTAAAATGTTTCTGAAAGCCCCAGTGAATCATGGCTTGTTGTCATCAGCAATAAAAATCCTGTTGACTGCCTATGAAGGAAGCGTAGCTCCTGTTGTGGTTGAGACAGTGAAAACTAATAAGAGCTAAAAGAATTTCATTTTGCAAGAGTAATCTATGAGTACAGATCTTTGAGAAGTCCTACATTTTATTTAGAAACAAATCTTTTACTATGCCATAAAGAAAACAAAAAACATTTTCTGAAGATTGATGTAACTGTATAAGCATTAATTTTGCTATGATACTATTACAGCTTTCTTTTTTGTTCTATGAAAAATCTTTTGATGTAGTTAAGGAGCTATATTATATAAAAGTAGTATTTATTTTATGAATCATACAAGAGTATCAGTTTAAAAGAAACTTATTAACACACATTTTCTCAAGCCCTTTTTTGTTATTTCCTTATTTTCTTGGGAAAGCTTATATAGCCCAAGTATCTTTCTAAAATTATCTATCATGAGAAGATTTGAGTAATACCATAAACATCAGGAAAATAAATATCCTAATAGATGCTATTGAAGTGTAATTAATAGCCTTGCTCATCTAATTTTGGGGTTTTCATTGCCCTAGACTCAAGTTAGCCGACAGTCTCATTTCAGTAGTTTATAAGCTTATCTGCTGCTAAGAGTAACTTAACTGACCTCTGTCATACACATGCATGGTATATTGTCAGTGCATTTAAAAATGAAAACATTTCATAGCAAGTGCCTATTTACAAAAACTATTGAATAGTGTTGTTATGTGCCAGCCTGCATATAAGTGCATTTTTGAATCATAGATTGAGAGTGTAGGGTATATATACACCTCTAGGTATTAAAATGTGTTTGTATCTCTACACTGTTCAGGTATGGGTAAGGCAGACAAAGGAAACCATTTGAGATCAACCTTGCTGCAGATTTCCCCTTGTTTGCACACAGGGCTGATTCCAGCCATAGGCAGAGCAGACTGTTGCCTGTGGAGGGAGACTGAGTGTAGCAAAATGGCCATGCCTTCACCTCTTTTCCCCAATCCTCATTAGATCTATTCCTTCCTCTTCTTTCTTGTCTCCCTTTTTCAGGAGCTCTATACTTAGTAGAACTCTGTCCATGCTGCTACCTCTGTAAATCTTTATGTGGTTTCTCATTCTGGTCTTGTTCTACTCATATTGCCACTGGTTTGCTTTTAGCTGAATTAGGGTTAGCAAGTGTAAAGTAAGCTTGATATTTTCATGTAAAATACAGGCATACTTTTGACTGAATCTGGGTCTTCTACTTAAGTTTAGCTTCGGGCCCAGGCTCTGTACTCTTGACTTTCTTTTCTAAAAGAGAAAAACCCTTTAGAACCTCAGATGTATTTTCTTTGGGCTGCTTGCTGTGGTCTTTTTATGTGTAGTTGAATTATGGAACTAATTTATATTCTCTTTCCATGAAAGTGGAAGTGGGATCGTTAGCTACTTCAAAATAAACCTGGCAGTGATTTTTTACACTTATCACGAATTAAGGAGACAGCAGTAGGCATCTCTGCAGTTAATAAAAAGTGCTCACCCTATGAAAAAAAAATAATTATATTTACTGTCAAGTATTGCTTAAGGTGATACAAATTTATAGCAGTGGTTTGCAGGTAAAGCCCACTGTATATCTGGCCATCTTTTGGCAAAGGAAGGATTAATCTGATCTGTAGGTAAGGGATGCAGGTGCATGCCTTGTCTGGCACTAGCACAGGGGCCACCATACATGCTGCTTGTCACTGTGGGAGCAGGAGACATTCTCCTGTGTGGTGGGTGAAGAGTTTCCCAAGGAGTGATGAGGCTTGATGTGGCTCCATGTTGGAGGCAAAAGCCTAAGTCGCTATGAGGATCCAGCTTCTTTTTTCAACCTCCCAACATAGAGCATATGCTTACAAAGAAAAAAAACGCATAGTAACAGTTTTTATTTAACTTCTGTTCTATATGCAAATTGTGCCTTGATGCTGGTTTATCAGATATGGGTACATGAGTCATTTCCACCAGCATGTGCCATAGGGAAGTGCAGTTCACCTCACTAATGAAACAATAGCTCCTGTGTTTTGCTGTCACATGTATAGACCAGTCAGTTTGTAAACTTCAGGTTCTTCTTTGCCAGAAGGGATCAGTGATGAAATATAATCTCTTTGATTCTGTTGTAAACATTTGTAGAATATCCAACTCTTAATTTCCGTGAAAATTATATTGTACTCAAAGATCAACGACTGAAAGTTGGGAAGTAAACACTGCGTTCTTTAGTAGGATTTAAAAAAAAAAAAAATTATCCCTGGTTTTAGATGCAATGCAACGTTTTGGAGCCCCTATAAAATTCATGATATTTTGGATCAGAACACTGATTTGTGCTCTGCTGCTGGCAGTTAAACTGTTTACTGCTCTCACTATCTTTTATTCCTTTTATTCATAGACGGATAAGACTGTACAAAATCAACATTATTTTGCTTTGGGGTGGAGAAAGCAGTTTTGTAAGCCTATGAGGGGAGCAATATTTCTGGTTCAGATCAACATTTCTTTGCTCTGCATGATGGGAGAAGACCTTTCATTTAATTACCACTGGAAACCGTAAATGCTTAATTGACATAAAAATGCCCAATACAGGCATTTTACAGTTTTCCTTTTGATCTTCCGTGTGGGTGCATATTGCACATGCAATTTGAATAGAACAACTAAAAAGCTGTGATGTGGATGTGTGCTAGCATGTGAGGAGGGCTTATATGAGTACAGCATTTGGTGCAGCATCAAAGAAAGGGATACACCCATTTCACATGAATAAATTGAGCATATAATTAACACCTGGACTTTACAAAATACTTTTGAAACACAGTTAAATCTGCTGCTTTTCTGCAATTGACAAAGTGCTAAAAGTGAAAATATTGATCCCTGTTGAGTTTGATTTTGGATGTATTTGATGTTAGATGCTGACTGGATTCAAACCCCTGAAACCCTTCAAACCAAAAAGTAAGATTGAACACTACCCTTTTACAACTGAAGTCAAAGAACTTTTAGAGCTCGTTCTAGTTCTTAATTTCTTTTTCGAGACACAAACTATATTTTTAGTGTAAGAAGAGGCAATTCTAATTAATGCAATCTTTCTCTTTGCCTTAGCAATTTATCCAGAAACAAGCTCTCAAGTTTGTCCAAGAAGCCTTTTCGCCATCTGGGTTTGACTGATCTGTAAGTTGTCATTTCTTAAAATATAAGTTTATTTTCGGCTAGAATGGAAAAATAACACTTCGAAGTTTGTTCTCTTGAAGGTAGAGGTCCATCAGGAATTAGAAGTGTTGTTCTAGTTCAAAGAAAGCATCAATTCTGAACACTTAAATGCGGAGAAATTTTCAATCCAGGGTTTCAAGAAGGTTAGGTATATATTTTAAAGCAATGTAGAGGTCAAATAACCTCTTCCTTCAGCTTTAAGATATTTCATTGTGAGAGTAATTCACACAAAACTACTGCTGTTTATTTAAATATTTGAACTAATGAAAATACAGTCTTTCACAGATATTTATATGAAGATTGTCTCTCATATTCTTATAGTGGCTACACAGCTTATATTCTTGTGGCTGGCTATTTAAGAGTATTTTTATTTTCTCAGATGCTTGAGCTGCACTGTGCTCTATATAATCGTTAGCAATAAAAGCACTGATAAACATTTCTTTCTTGACTTTTTCAATACTAGCATTTTCATTCTCTGTTACATTTGCCATATTTTCTTATTGATATACGTGTCAAAATTTTGGTCATTCTCTGCTGTTATGCAGAGAGCCTTCAGGAGTTCTGGGAGAGCTGGGGCTGCAGAGGAGAGGGAGGTTGCTCTCCTGGATCTCAGAGCAGAGTCAGAATTTGCCCAAAGTGCCAGTCCAGGAATGAAGCACCTGAGAAGCAATCCTACGCCTCTTCAGGTGAACTTCAGCATGTGAGAAGTGAAATGAGCAAATCTCAGTGCCACAAAAAGAGGTTATGCCCCTTAGGTATATTTACTGATAATTAAGTTGGTATAATTATTCTCTTTATGGCCCAGGGAACACTGCTCACTGGAATATTCTTTAATAATTTGACCGTTGCTAAGCTCTCTAATGAGGTGACTAGCTAGTTGTGAAGCTCTCCCATTGCTCCATGCCCTTTGTTGTTCTGTTGTTTCTGCATGAAGAAGCAGGGCAAAGATAGTGGGAGTGAGACAGATATGGATAATGTGAAGGTTAAAGAGAGTAATATTTGATTTATGGAGGCAATGCGTACTACTGAGAGAAAAAAGGGATACAAAATTGAGATAGAGTGTTGTGGGCTTGGGAAAGAGAGTGCAGGACTAGACAAACTGAAGTTATGCAAACAAAGGTTGTGATGAAGCGAGATAAACAGACATGGGGGAAATAAGGGAAAGAAAGTGAAAGGATAAAAGCAGAGCCTGAAAGGAGGACAAGCAATGATAAAATCAGTACAGTTGAACAATTCTGCTGGTAAGTGTTTAATACAAAGCTGGAAGATCAGAAACAGGAGAGAAAGAAGAGTTCTGGTAGGTGAATCTGAGATATGAATGTTGCCATAAATAGCTTCTGAAGAACTTCCCCTAAATTTGACAAACAAGTATGTTTGTCCTGTTAGTACTTTTGCAAATCAAAATGTAAAGAGATAAGAAGTTTAGATTAAGGTGTAGTGGAGAGGATAATCACCAGGTGTTACAGAGAAGGAGATGCCACCTTGGAAGGTTACTTCTAGAACAAATGGACTGTAGCTGTAAAATTAGAGTAAACAAGATAAAGACTTGAAATTTTCTTTTTGTAGATCAGAATTTTTCTTTCACACAAGTGTTTGTAGAGGGTCATTATTTTTCATGATTTGCACACTTCATGTCTTCAGGAGGCATTTATGAGCATAGATTCTGCAAGAAACTTGAGCTTCTGTATATCAAAAATACGTATGAAACTTTCTTAAGAATGATTGTTCTCCTGGTAATGAAATGCCCTAAGCAGACACTTACACACCCACTTTTCTGGATCTCATGTATGCCAGTAGAAGGAAAAAAAATACTGGTCACTGTTTATGTAGATATGTTTCTGTTCATATTTAACATACATGTAATTGCATTATACTGTTGTGTAGTTTTATTAAATTTTAAAACTAGAATTTGTTAGGTTTGCTAACCAGTGGTTTAAATTCCATGCAAAGTACCGTATCAATTTCTATTTCAGGGCCATTTTTTCATTTAATATTTCTTCATGACATTGCCTAAGGTTTTGCTGTGACGTTTTTCTAGAGTGTTGTAGCAGATGAATTTTAAAGATTAGGCAAAATAATTTTTTGTGATTAAAGTTTTTTAGAGTACGTGTATAATCCAAGACTGTTTGACTTTATAAAGAATTTATCACCCATAGCAGTAAACCATTTCAGTGGTGAGTGGTGGCTCAGGTGTAGAAGAGATGAATTCCAATCTCTTCCTGATTTATGAAATAAAATGGAGCTTCTTGAGCAGCCATTCTCTACAGACTCCTGATTTACACCAATTAATTGGAAATAGTAGCCAAATCCCCTGTGTGATAGCTCCTGCCTATGATATTCTAGGTCCTCAGTGCACGCAGAGCTTAATTCCCCACATGGAAACTGTTGCCAACTTGGCAACTTACTTTGCACTGAGCTTACCAAGAGTGTTACGCTTCTTAATGAACGGGTTCAACCTGCCTTCCTTAACCTTCCTAACTTGTATTTTCATCCAGCTGAATGCTTGAAGCCCCCTTGCCCCTCCTTTTTCCTATATGGATGATACATTTCACCTTCCAAATAAATTGGTGTTTTTTTCCTGTAGGATATTGGTGGACAATCCATTCAAGTGTTCCTGTGAAATAATGTGGATCAAGAAATTTCAAGCGACCAAGTTTTACACAGAAACTCAGGACTTATATTGCATAGATGACAACAATAAGAGGACAGCCTTGCTGGATATGAAGGTCCCAAACTGCGGTAATATTCTTTTAACATAAAACTACTGCTAAATTACTGTGAGCCAGGAAAAAACAAACATGCTTTTTTTGCGAAGTACTTCTCAGGATGACAGCAATGCTCTAAAGGAAAAGTTTTCAGTGGAGCTATTAACCATTCAGTGGTCTTTCACCTCACATGGAATGGCTCTGGGAACTTCATAGAATCATAGAATCACAGAATACCCTGAGTTGGAAGGGATCCCTCAGGATCATGGAGCCCAGCTCCCAGCACTACACAGGACACCCCAAGAGTAACACCATGTGTCCAAAAGAATTGTCCAAATGCCTTTTGAACTCAGAAAGGGTTGGTGCTGGGACCATTTCCATGGGGAGCCTGTTCCAGTGCCCAACCACACCCCAGATAGCCAACCTAAACTCCTCCAACTCAGCTTCCTACCATTTCCTTGAGTCCTGTCATTGGTTACAAGTGTGAAGAGATCAGTGCCTGCCCCTCCTCTTCCCTTCGTGAGGAAGCTGAAGACCCCAATGAGGTCTCCCTTCAGTCTCTCCGAGGCCAAGTGACCTCAGCCACACCTCATGGGTTCCCTTCAAGGCCCTTCACCAATTCATGTCAACTTGCTTATTTTTCTCTTGATCCTTTAAGAATATACCATTATTCAAGTGCAGGGAAACAGAATACTGGTTATAGATAGCACACAAGTATTATATAGAGTGCATGTGCTTTTGTTGAACTAAATATTAGTGTTTCCAAGCTCAGTAGACATTCATAGGTCAATTTAACCTACTTGAATTTTCTTTCAGGTATTTATAGTTAATGAAGTCTTTATTTTCCTTAAAAAATACTAGTATTAGGACCATAGGAAGAAAATTCAGAACTAGATGCTACTTGAGACAAATTAGCAACAGCTCTGTTCTTCTAAATAAAACTCTACTGAGTTCACTTTAAAGACTATACAAAAGAGTTATATCAAGCTTAGTTCTTTGGCATATTGTTTTCAGCTATATGGATCTAGAAAAAAAGGGAAAAATTGTATAACAATAAGGCCATCTCCTTGCCTTTTTTATATACAGTTTTGCTACCCACGTATTGTCCTGGGACAGCTGGGAAAAGTTTCACTCACTAGCTGGAGATTTCTCCTCCTCTGAGGGGCAGGAATGGGGTGTTTCATGATGTCACATCTGCTGGACTCTGGAAGCAGAGTGGGAAACTGGGGTTTCCGGTAGCAGGCAGGCAGGCAGGAAGGAAAGGCAACAAGGGGATCTCCATGGAGGGCTGATTTGTATAGGAAAAGCTCTAAGTGAATGTGACCAGTTAGAGAAATTATACCTTTTCTCCTTCCATCTTTGCCCATTGAGTGTCCTTTTCTTCACTCTCTGTGTGGAGGGTATGACATCCTCTGATAGCAGCTGCCAGCAAACAACTATGGTGGGAACTGCTGCAGGCCCAGCAAATGCAGCCTTTAGTGTCAATAATGTGTTTTGTGGCCTCATATCACTGCTGATCTTGTGCCCAGCTTCCTTCTGATGGCAGAAATGGTGTTAGTGTCTTGTGCAATCAAAAAAACCCCACGTGTTCAGGGAGTCTTGTGAGCTACAGAGTTGGTCTTGTGTGCTTCAGCATCTGATTTACCTGAAATGGGAGATATTTCTAGCTGAGCTAAATAGACCCAACCTTCTGCTCCAGCTGGATGGAAAAGAAGGTGGATTAATGTGCTGAGTGTAAGGAGGTCAGCTGCAGGACTGAGATCAATTATTGCAGAAGAGAAACTCCAGCACATTTTGTAACATTCTTGGCCAGCACATTTAGAAGCTACTAGGTTGCTAGGATTTTCCTTTGAAAACTTTTGATGTTAAATACCCAGAATTAAACCTATGAGGGATTATCTCTTTCCTCTGATTTCTTAACCATCTGCAGCCAAAACAGGCTTGTCTTTGGGCCCTGAGTGCTGTTTAGGCGCATATGTGTGTACACATGCATGCATCCTGTGGGCATATCTTGACTATAATACTTGTCATGACAAGGGAAGGTGGTACGTCATCTTAGAAGAGGAAAGGAGGAGGGAAGGTGAGTATATACAGCGTTTAGTCTGGAATTTGCAGTATATGTAATTTGCATACGGAAAGCATGCATTGTATTGAAGGTCTGACTGGATGACAGCACGTGCCTGCAAATATTTATGTTAGTTTACAGGGTCCAAATCTCACCAAATTTTGCATCATTCCCCCCCCCCCTTTTTTTTTTTCTTTTAGCAACTATTTCCTCTTTATTTACTTTTTCAAAATGAACCAATGCAGGACATAGATTTTTAATAAAGATGACAACATATCCTTTTCCTAGACATGGAGTAGAGAATCCCTGGTGAAGAGCAATGACAACAGTGGTGGGTTGTGTTCTGGATATCTGAAAAATCAAATACATGGCTCTTTTTTTCAGCATCTTTGCAGATATTTTTCTGTTAAAAAAAAATGCTGATGAAGCTGGTATATTTCATTTGCAGAACATTTTGAGAGGCTAACATAAAGAACTGAAACAGAAGAGGAATTCAGCTTTTGACATATTAAATTTTTTTTCCTGTGAACTCTGTGATGTTTTTTAGCTCCCTTTGATGTGAAGAGAAATATTTGGGCATGTAGGCTTCTGTATATTTTTAGTAAAACATTTCCTCTGCTTTTCTAATCTTCTCTGCTAATGAAATAGTTTCATCTCATCTCCTTGTTGAATTTGTTTTTTCTTTTTTTTTTAATTTATAAACTAAACAAATGTGCACTCTTCTTTGTGTCAAAGTGTTACTACTTCATAGTGTTGTAGTAAGAGGCCTATACAGTATGTGATAAATGTTTTGATAATAAGATGTCTTTCTGCTGTGTGCTGTAAATAAATTTCTTGCTGGGAAGTAGGTAGAGGCCAATGTGGTTTCTTGATCATAGGGCTTTGGTTTCTGGGTAATTGAGGAGAAAATAAACAAATTTCTGTGGTACTTTGCCAGCTGTTTGTATGGTGGAAGTGTTCAATAATGTACTGATTAAAGATTGACTTCCATTTTGATGTCAGCAACTTTGCGATTTATTTTCTTGAGGTTTAAAGTCAGGTGTGTTCAATATCTAGAAGATCCTTTCCAGCTGCAATATTAAAAGTGTCAATCAGTAATTATTTTTCCAACTGCATTTGAAATGTATGTAAAATGATGAAAATTGTCAGATTGTTCTAGGTTTTAGGATCACATGTGATTTCTGTGTCAAAGACTTTCAAGTCGCATCTACCACAGTAGCAGAGCCTTTTGTGTATAGAGATGGTGGTTTTGCCATTTTCAGAGCATTTGCCAGTTGTCTTTACAGCGTGGACAGCACCATCGCCTGGGACATTTCCTTTTGTTTCCATCTGATAAATAGCATTAGAAAATCAATAAAAAGAACTAAATGAGTAAACACTTTATTCTTATTAATAACTCTAAGCTCTGGTGGCTATTACCACCAGTGTCTTAAGTCCTTGGAAGTCAGGCATGTTCTGCCTAAGGTAACTCAAAGACTATCATTCTGCAGATGACTTGGAACTCACTGAATGCCAGGGAAGCAGGACCACATCCTTGGGACTGATTGTCAATGTGTTGCATGCTCTCTCTGGTTGAAATTCAGTTACTGAGCTGTTATCATTAACTTCAGTGATACTGAAAGAAGTCTTTTTATCTTCTGGTGTTTTGGGAAAAGGTATGGCTTCTACAGCTGTCTTTGCAGTACTGCAGATTTTTCTATTTCTTTGCATCTTAGTCTGGTTAATAGCATTTTGCCTTATCTGGCCAATTTAGTTTTGTATATGGAGATATGATGTTGAATCTATCTTTCGGTTTTGTTTACTGTGTCATCTTCGGATGCTTTTTTGTCATATATTGTTTCTTTGGGTGCCTTCTTTCTTGTCACTGGTCACATATGCTAGCTACAATCTATTAAACAATGTCACAGATTAGTTTCCTGTGCTAATTTGCTTTACATATCACTAAGGTATGCTCAGACTGGCTGTCTGTTTATATCTGTGGTTACTCAGCAGAACTGTTGTCTGTTCTAAGAGCTATGGGATTTAATGAATGCTCACATTCTTTGCCTGTCTGTTCTCATGCAAACCAAGTACCGTGATGTTGCTCTTAGTGTGTACCAAGATACTTGCGTGTGACTGAAAAAATTTTAGAAGTTGTTGTGATGTAGAATTTCAAGCTGAAGTAACTGCTTACCCATGTCTTGCTTGTTGAGGAAACCCATGATTTTTGATAGGCAGTTGTTCAGATGACTGAAAATGGACTGGAACTGGGTCTAGCTTCATTAAAGCCTGTTTCTAGTGATTTTGGTTTTTGTGCTAGAGGTAAATAAATAAGTGGTAATAGGAGACTGGAGGCAGGTGGTTATAAATTCTTAGGAGGGAAAAAGGCAAACTGAAGGACTGACATATTTGTTTCTTTGAATTTACAGAAAAGACATAGTATTACTGAGCCAATAAAATAAGCATTAGATCTTAGGCAATCACAGTACAATGCAGTTTAAAACCACAAGCAAAGGCATAATCCAGTGGGTGTTGACATTCTTTTCCACTATCAGCCAGATTTCACCGATAAGACTATTAGAAGGAGAATATTACAGGCAGAATTGAGTTTAAAAAAAGCCTTAAATGTTCTCAGTGTTTACGTTTCAGAATATTAATGGATTCTCTAGCCCGTATTGTTTATTTTGGCACAAGAACTAGATGTGGTGCATGATGTCTGGTGGCAAACTGTTCTTATTTTCTCTATAAGAGTTTTAATTCTTATCTGTGATCATGGGCTATGTGAAAAACTTCATTTTTAGTGAGGCTTTGACAGTAACAGGGTTTCACTCTTACTCTCAAGATGGGTTAAAAATTTTCCAAAGTTAATTAAAATAATTTTCTGGCTTTTAAGTGGAAATAACCAAAAATTTATGGAGTTTGACAATGCAATAGGAATCTCATTTCAAAGATACCTATATAACTTTCTTCTGAACATGCAACATTTATCT